CATCTCCCAACCCCCCTACCACATCCCCACCCCTTCCCCGAAACACCCAGTCTATAACATCTCTCCACTCCACGCCACTCAATCACTTATAATTCCCAAAACAAACAGCAAAACAAAAACAATACCAGAAAGAGGCAAGAAGAAACGAACAAACAAACAAAAAAGAAAGAGCAAGACTTGACTCCATGTATGCTAGCTACCTGATTAATCAACAAGGAAAGTGGAGGGGTGAGTGAAGGAAAGGAGCTGCGTACGGTACGTTTGGAGTGGAATAGAGGTAGATGGGAATCATGTATGTATGCAACGGTCGTATATCGCAATCTAGAACTACGAGTCAGTCAGGGAGTTCTTCGCATTGCAGTACAGTACCTTAGCTATGCACACAACCAGCTACTAGCTAACCACTGACAGCCACTTGGCCTGGCCAGCAAGTTTCAGCACATCACGAAATCCTAAACCGCATAACAAACATGATCACCACGACAGCAAGCGCACAAGTATTTTGAAAGGCTTGTTAATATCAAGAGCTCAATCAGCTATCAATCAAGTAGCTATCTCACTTCCATCCATGCTTGACACCAACATCAACATCTCATCTCATATCCTCTCTCTGCTTTCCTTCTGAAGATATCCTCTCCTTCACCCATTCATTCTGTTCCGATTGAAGCTCGAAGCCTAACCTATCCCAGAAAAATTCCCCTACGCTATCATCTTAATCTTACACCCAAGCTAAGCCGAGCCAGGCCCAAAAGAAGAACATCCAATAAGCAAGATGAAAGGGGGTATGTTTAGACAGGGTATTGAAGTCGAAAGGTGATGATGGAAGAAAAGCCGATGTGGTTGTGTTGTGTTGTTATGTCGATTTAGAGTGAGCTCACGTATCTTTATGTACGTTTGTGTATTTGAGATTTGTATCTCTTGATTCAGGTCGAGTCAGTACACTAATAGTGTCTGCCGCCTTGAAGTTCGTAAAAGGAAAAAAAGGGCTGTTGTTTATTCGGTGTGATTGATCATGGCGGTATTCTAACATATCATTCGTGTTTTTTCGTAGTGTATGTGTTGTGTTGTGTAGTAATTAGACAAAAGAGCGTGGTCCAGGATTCCTGATCCAAGAAAAAGGTTGGTCGATAACCTTGCAACACCAAGAAGCAAGATGCAATACCAGGGCGTTGAATAAGCAAAAAAGGTATGCTATGCACGCCAAGACGCCAGACTGAGAAATGCTCCGATGTAAAGCAAAAATGACAAGGCTACAACAAGGTCGAGCTGTCATGACAGGTCAGGTGAAAAGTACCTGCCGTCCATGTAGATTTCGAAGCCAAACGCCAGAAATGCCAAAACGCCGCAAAAATGCAAAGGTTATTAGAATGATACCATACGTCGTGCTGGTGTTCGATCGTAATTCAGCATAGGCGAACTGTCCATGCCCATCATTGTTAGATCCACGCTGCTTCCACCCTTGGACCGACTGGGTGCGGTTGGACTATCGTCTATTTGGCCTTGGCCAAAAGCGAAGGTCTGTGCTCTGCTCAGCTTTGTTCGGTTCTGGCGAAGTCTACCCATCTCCCGCTCGCAGGTGTAGGCGTGCTCCTTAGCATCCATCTCAACGTAATTCTGAGGAAAGCATCGCTCTCGGTGTTCAGAGAAGAAGCCACTGTACCCACCATCCAGGATATAGACTTCAGGGTAGGTGAGTTTGGGGTAGAATTCGGCGTTGGTTGAACGATCTTCTTGTCGTACATTGCGGGCCATTATCGGTGCACGGTGTGCAGAGTACTCGCAATGGAAGATTAGTAGAGTGGTGCCAGGAAGACTTGATTTGAAAAGCTGGGTGGCAAGTAACTCCTTGTCGTTGTAGTTGACAGCACCATCGATGTGACCCCCGTCAAACTCATACTCGAATCTGCAGTCGATTATCATACGTTGATCGTATTGGCCATCAAATTTACCATCAAGAATGTCCAACAGCGTCTCCCGGGTGATCCTTGGTATGCTATCTGGTTGACCTTCCTGGAAGAAATGGGGCAGCACAGGCTGATGAAGCTCGTCAACGTCCATGACAGTGTTGAGGCAGCTTGCAACGGGTTCCTTTGGCTTCATGACATCTCCTGGGTGCTCGAACATGCTCAACGATCTACGAAATTGCTTCCTCGGCCGAATTAACGGATTAGAAGGTCTTCTCGTATGGTTGCCAATTGGGGACCCATTGCGCAACGAGTTCGAGTTCATGCTACCAAAGGGTCTTGCCGGTCGTGGAGGTCCCATGATAGAAACCGCCGGGCTGTTGGCAGATTTTGGTCGGCGTTCTTGGGGGGGTGATTCCATGAAACACTCATCCAAGGACATGGAGGTCGTGGTCGACAATTTGCTGCTTCCAGCACCGAAGCGGAAGGGAGGCAATTGACTCTCGGGATGGCGAGGCAAGGTATTGGTCGAGAAGCCTTTGGTTCTTGTAAGGGAAGGTCGAAGTAAAATAGATTTTCTTCGTCTGGGCAAATTAGCATGGCTTGGTGGAGGAATGTGCAATCAAACTCACTCTGTCGCATTTGTAGGCCTCGGAGCTTCCACCAAACGTGGCGGCGACGATGGAACAGGATCTTCACATGGTGTATGGCCTGGTGTAGGAGACTCAATCTCGATGTGTGAGAAGTATGGTTGTTTGTGTGGAAGGGGGGAGATGTCCATTCGCTCGTTCATCGGACCCGGCGACGAAGAGGGCAGAGGAGGAGTCGTAACGGATTCTGCAGATTGTTAACATCTTATCCGCCATCTGCCAATGCGCGATCCTTACCCCGACCATCAAATGTTCCATAGAGATTCGATGTGAAGAGAGATCGTCGAGGAGTTGGCAATTGAGGGCTGTAGTTTGTTAGTGCTGTCTGCCAAGCTGTGAAAAAGGTTCGCATACCTCATATCAATGTGAAAGTTTTGGGAGAGATCTGCTGCCAGACTAGCTGTGGGGGAGGATCCACGGACGGGTTTTATGGTGAAGTAATCCGATTTGGTGGGCTTCCGCATGCTGAGATCTCTAAAGTTGAACGCACCGGGCCCGAAACTAGGAGCTGCCAGATGGCCATGGGGATTGGAAGTATACATGTCGTTTCGACCCCACCCGTGCATGAAAGAAGGCTGCATAGCAGCCAGTGGTGAAGATGCCTCCATAATGAATATGTAGGTAGACAAGGGAGATAGTACTACTAGTCGAGAGATGTCTTTGTGCAGGCAATTGAGTCGAGTCGAGAGGGAGGGATATCCTAACGATAATGGCAATTGTTGACTTGGACGAGGCTCGAGATAGTCAATTCAGAGGAAGATGACGGTGACTGGGACAATAAGATAATCCGAATAACCGTTGCTGTACAACTAAAAGCTCAGTAGAGAGGCTGAGAGTCCTGGAGAATCCGGGATGGAGATTGGTGGGATGGGATGGGAGTGTTATTGAAAGGTCCTAGACATCGAAAGGTCTTCTACTGGATCTTCAGATCGTCTGGTGGTATGCATGCGAGTGAAGATGGGATGGGCCGAAGTGGTGATTGGCGTGGATGCTGCGGATTAGTCGTGTGGGAGAGGCCGTGATTGAAGGATGTACATGCACATATGGTGAATACCGAGGAAAGGCTGGGAGAAGACCTTTCTTATGTGCAATGTAAAGCAAAGCTCCAACTTGTCAAGCAACAGAGGGGATGAAGATGATCAAGTATGGAGATGAGGATAGAGGAGAGGGAAGAGCAACGAGGGACGGGGGAGCTGGAGGTAGAAGAAGAGAAGAGAAGAGGAAGCTGGACCGACAAGCAAACGGCGTCGCTGGTTGGTGGAGTCTTGGTGTTGTCAGGGCGATTAGGGCGATTCTGAAGCGCCTGAGGGTTGCCGGGTTGGGAGCGATTGCAGGCTCTGTTTCGCTGGCGACCTCGTGAACTGCTAGGCTTGATTCCGGCTGACGGGGGTTTGCCTGGGAATCAAGACAAGACTCCCTGGCAACCATGCAGAGAAAGAAATCTGGATCTTTTAGGATTTGTGAATAGTTGTGATGGCGATCAATGGAAGTATAAAGTAAGAGCCTCACTCATTCATGGGAGAGGTACGACTGTGATAATCAACACTGGATGGAAGGTAGAAAACAAACACCACATCATATCTACAGTACAGTATTTAAAAACAGAATAATCATGATAATTATAATCAGAATCATAATTATCCTTATACTTATGCTTATCAAGTGCACCAGCTTTCACAATTGAGTTTATTCACAACCCTCCCCACCTCGGAGCTTTCCTACTCGCCACTCTTCTTCTATTGACAGGCGCCACACATATAACCACAGTAGACGAGGTAACGAGAGTCCGTGGCATGCATGTCTTGGTAACCTTTATTTGATGTCTCTTCTCTTCTCTTACACTAGATGCATCACCAGTCCATGGATCCATTAATGCTTCTTTATTATCACATCTTATCACGATCTATCTCACTCTCTTCTTTTCCCTCACTAACTGCCCCTAGTTCACGCGTTGTAAATATTGACATCGCGTCCCCCTCCCCTCATTATCTCTAGGGGCAGTATTCAGCTCACAACCAGTGCACCACACCACCCAGGATATCCAAGTCCCACCACCCCAAGCCACAACAGGAAGTTCCCTCTCCACTTGGCATCGGAGAATTAAACCCATAACCCTGTCCGTACAAGCATCTACACACCAATCAAACACCCAGCATCCCTCAGCGGCTCGCTCGAAGGAATATAGGTGGATGGCGTGTGCAGAAGAGCGGGGATCTCACGTAAGGTAGAGAGAGGTAGCTCGAGTAAAGTCCGGCTTTCCTCCAATTGACCAACCAAGCAAGGCATGAACGGATGAACGAATTAGTGAAAACTAGTTTGGAGATGTTGACTTTGGTTTCTGTTTCTGTTTCTGTCTCTGTCGTCATGAATGATTATCAATTAACATTTTTAGGGATTCAAGAATAGATTGATGGGTTTTAACGCTGAGTCGGCGCTTGGAATATCTTCAGAATGTCATGTGGATTACTGGTTGCTAGGTGGTATTTAGAACAATGTACAGTACAAGCTTATCAGACATGTCCTAATCTCTTCCAGCTCACCAGAATTACTGTACACGCACCACATTCACACCCTCCACCAACGTTTCAATACTCATTCATTCAGGTCCCATTGATTCTCTCAGCTCAGCCTCAGCCTCAGCCCTAAAAACAACACCATCAAGTCAGCAGATAGACGCATCCACCATCCACCATCCACCATCCATCCATCAATTCCCCCACCTTTCATTCCGCCTTCTTTGCCTCTATCATCTCGTCATCTCATCTCATCTCATCTCATCTCGTGACCCGTCCAGTCCGTCACCATAGACGTCGTCGCATCAACGCATAAGAGCGTTGGGTTCCCCGGTTTCACCAAATAGCTCATCTCGACTCTCGAGTCATCTCTTCTAGCAGTGCACAAGCACAGACAGAACATTCTGCAGTGGACCCATCTGTTCCACCTCTCTCTTTCCTTCCTTCATCCATCCATTCATTCATTCATTCATAAAATACAAGAACAAACAAACAAACAAACAAACACAATACCTTTCTTTACCCCTGTCCCAACTCCACCGCGCCGCTCGCTTTTTTTATCGCATCCATCCATCCCTACACCACAAACCGGAGCCGAGTATTGATTCAGCTATCGTTCGTCGCCTTACGAAACGAACCAACGCGCTATTCCTAATCTGTACCTCCTCTCCCGTGCCCGTCCCAATGCGTCGACTGTAGCGCTTGATCGATCCTGTTTTTAGAAATTATCGATACTCGAACTTGATGTCATGGAGATTTAGAGTTTTCACATACGGTACGGAGACTTCTTGTAAACTTGTAAGTGCCTTGTTTCTCTATACTAGCTGTATGGAAAGAAGAGCGAGAAGAAAAGGAAGAAGAAGAATAAACGCGCGGTTTTCTTGTTCTTCTATTTTGTATTCTATATATCTTTTGAATTCTATATATCTTCTGAAGATTTCCACGCTTGAAGCCTAGAAGCTATCTAGGCTACGTACTGTATGCCGCCTTTCCGGCGTCCGTATGGTGAAGCAAGGAAGGAGTATAAAAATAGCATCTCTTTTCTTTTCTTTTCTTTCTTTCTTTCTTTCTTTCCTTTCCTCTATCAGATGTCGTTTCCTCTCCTCCCTCCTCTCCTTCTTTACCGCGTATAGTCTTTACCGCGTATAGCATAGCATAACCATAGCATAGCATAGCATGACAAACAAAAATAACCCCTCCTTCGCAGGATTCCCTTGTCGTGATATACATACATACAGTAAGAAGCGGGTAGCGGGGTATGCATGCACAGTACGTACCGTACTCGGCGACGAATCCTGCTCGGTGTCTTTTTTTTTTTGACGTCTGCTTGCCCTGCATGCGGGTTTATGCGGTGCGGAAAGCGCGGTCGCGGTGCGTTTATGCGTACGTGAGAAGAAAGCGAAGGAAGTAAACAAGGCACGCGGTATCACGAGACTGTTTTCTTGTGAGCTTTGGGTATTGTACCCCGCCATGTTTTAACATGTATAACCTTCAACTCACATCTATTCATCTATCTGCAGTATGTATCTATTCCATCCCAACTTCTCTCTCCTCTTATCTCCTCTCCCTAGCCTCTCCGCTCCGATCCATCCGATTTCCAATCGTGCGTGCACCGCCGTACAAAGCTGTATCTATAGCAACACCTACCTACCTACGTATATCATTCAAGCTTACCCTACCCTATGCATGCATGCAGGAGTGTCGGTGACTCCTTGCATATGCGCCTTGCATCTGCATTTGCATTTCCATCGAGAGACCTGCCTGCCCTGCATCTGCTTGCATTGACTTAGATTTCCTCCGTGCCGTGACTTGAGCATCTTGACTTGCATGCGGCGTGGCGTGCCCCACCGCTAATGGCATCGCAGGGAGCGCGGAGGATATGTTTCAGACCCCAACCTCGCTACAAGGCTTGAAACGTGAATGCAGACCGAGCTTTCCGATGATGGAATCGTCGATTACTTCGTGATTGATTGATTGATTGATTGATTGGTGAGACATGGGAACCTGGGGAGAGGGGAGGTCTGAGAGGAGTCCGTACAGTAAGACGGGCGACGACCTGGTTATGGAGTTGACCCCGCCATTACCTTTAAAGATACGATGCAGACGGGACGCATAGAGAAACGATGGATGGATGTGATGCGAAGTTCTGCCGCGGTCATGGGGTGGTTGTTGACAGCATGCCTAGGTAGTGTGGTGTTTGCAGGATTTGTTTAATCGCGATACACGCGCTTTCAAGAGGTGCGTGGTAGATATTAAGAAGGAAACATGCTAGCAGGAACTCTTTTTTTTTTTGCTTACGCTTACGCTTGCTTGCTGTATATTATTTTCCTGTTTAATGTTTCATACGAACGTCTTCTTTCTTGTTAGGTCCAGTCATCGATGCGTCTACAGCCAGCCTTACAGCGTTAAATGGTAAATAGAGAAGATACTGTCATTTATGATACTATCCCCCCTTCTACGCTCTCAGATTTGTAATTTTCTTCCTGCTATCAAAATGATCATCTGAACTTTGCTCCGGACACAACGCCCCTTTTCTACTCTGTCGCCCATCTTATTCTCCTTCATTAATCATAAGTAATCTGTAAGCATGCAGAAATAGGAGTATGGCACAGGTCCTTCACTCCATGTGACTGATGATTCGTGTTACCATTTCCAGCGGTTGAAGGATTTCTTACTGCTAGATGCACACTTGCTTTCACACAGTACGGGCTGTACGGGTATTGTTAGGCTAGACGCAGTGGCGGAGCATGTCTTGAGTATGAGAGGAGTTTTGTGTAAGAAGCTTCGTAGTTGGGTATGTCTTTGTTTTTGAGTCTCGCACCAAGGATTCGATTCGTCCCGCAAGTCCTGTGGCGAGGAGAATCACCGCTATTTTTATTAAGACAGCCAGAATATGATTATCTCACCTATAGTTGCAATCTCACTACTATTTCATCGAGCTACACATATATCTAAGCCCTTTCACAACACCTCGAACCATCAACCAAAACACTTTTGTTAGCAGCCTGCGTACTAATCGCCACATCCATCGTTGGGTTCCTCTCGAAGAAATTAACCGGCTTCAACGAAACCATCATCTTCTCCGTCGGCATGAC